GAGGATTAGGGAAGCCGCGGGTCGGCGCGCACGGATGGAAGGCGACGCATATGGAAGGCGGCCGAAAGTTTAAAGTGGGAGATTCTAGAATTGCTTGGTGTGCAAGCCAAGCATTAGTTATTTGGTAGGTTTAGGATTTTATTGCTTTCTAGTGGTAGGATTTATTTTATTGCATAGAATAGGAGATATAGTTTGATTAGGCTTAGATTTATTTTTCACCTATAAATACCCCATGTACCTCATCATTATTTAATGTCTTGAATTGAGTATTGAATTGGTGAGCCAATTTTGAGGGGAACTTTATGTTCTAACGTGTAATAAACAAGGCCATCAGTGCGTGTTTACATACAGTGTCGGAGAAAAGGCCCTGAGAGCGTCTCAAAGTCACAGTGTCTAGGAGAAGGCCGATAGTGCGTCTGTTAGATACACCTATCGTGGATAATCGAAGGCCCTGAGTGCGCGATTATTCACAACCCGTATAGACAGAAATTTGATCCGTCATCACGCTGGCGTGCGCTGGAGCGCTGGCGCGCGCGCTGGGGCTGTCTGGCAGCAGTGCACAGGGCCCGACAGACAAGCAGGGTTTCAAATAGGATCGACCGATTTAAAAACGTACTTGACCAATTTACTTGAAACTTTTAGACATTATGTTAGACCCAGAAAGGAATATTTTACAAATTTTCAGACCCAATCCTGCAGTTTAACTTGAGCAACCAATTTTTATAAAAAGACGATGAAAATCTGAACATTCTAGTTCACCGGGCAATCCTTTGAATTTTTCAACGAAATTTGAACACAACACATATAACATCAGATTACTAACACTCACCAAAAATCGCAGCAAAACACCAAGAATCTGATTTTTAATGATTTTTCAAAGTTTCTGCCCAGAACTTCAAATCAACATTTGGCCTAGCTACAGACATCATTTCGACTTAAAATTTTTACACCACATATAATACTATCATAGGGTCATACAGTTTAATTTTCACAGCAATCGGATGAATACACAATATATAATGATTTTTCGAACGTTCAGCAGCAATACCCGATTAAAAAATGCATAAATGACAAATTATTCAACAATAACGTCTAAGGACTTCTCCATGAGGCCAAAGACTTCAAATTTTTCAATAATACACAGCTCTGATCACGATTTAATGAGGGTTCATAAAGAACACACTAATATCCCTTCAAACATGCGTAATTTTTACATTATTCAAACATCCCAAGGCAAATCTGATTTAAACCAAGATGAAACAACTCAAAACACATTAAAATGAGAAGGTACAGCCATCAAGTACCGTTCTCATGATCTTTGCACTAAAAATCACAAGGGAAAGGGTTCGAAGGCGGGCCCGGGGCGGCTCGGCGGCGGGGGCTCAGCTCATCGGAGGCTGGGATCACCTTGAACAGAGTTGGGCAGCTTCTATCTGGCCTGGGGATACTCAAACAGGGGCGGGGGTTCGAGGGTTGGCCGTGGTCCTTGCTCGTTGGTCGCCGGGGTGTGCTGCGCGTGATCGACGGGGAAAACTTGCTGCGTCACTGTATGTGGCGGGACTGCTGTTCGCGGCGTGGCAGGGCTGCTGTTCGCGGGCAGAGGATCGTCGGGAAAGGCTTCGCGAAGGAACAACAATCAGAACTTGGTCACAACAGCGTGGATTCACGCAAACAGGGGCGATGATGGTGAAGGAACTCGGCGGTTGAGATGATGGTAGAGAATGATGGTGGCGACTGGTTCTAAAAATAAAAAGCGAGAGGGAGAATCTCTCTTAGGGTCTGCGGTTTGCGAGTATGAGAGTAGCTGTGGGAGGGATTATCCCATTAAATACAATTAGGTTAAGGTTTAACATTTTCTTTATCCACCAGGTAATAGCACACGCACACACCCACACACGCACAAGATAGAAAAATCGGGTCTGATTTGGCGCCAGTTCGGGCTCGCAGGTTTTCCCAATTTATCGGGTCGGTTCACGAGTGGGTTCGAGATAATGATTTGGCTCTCGAGCTCGATTTAATCGCGCGATAAAATAAAATAACAACCGGGTAATATTTAATCAATATATAGATATAAATATTTATTATAAACAACATTTAGACACATTTAGCATTTAGACAATTAATATAAATATTAATATTAATAATAATAATAATAATCAATTTAGACAATCAGTTTAATATAATAATAATAATAATAATAATAATAATAATAATAATAATAATAATAATAATAATAATAATAATAATTGATATAGCCATATCGTATAACGGTTTATATATGACCAACGGTTCGAAAATAACTGAGTCGACTTAGCCAAAGTCGATTCTCTCCACAGGAACTATAATATCTCTGGTCAAGGGTCCAGGCATCCCTCGGTTGACTTCCACGTGTCGACTAGCTGCAGTCTGATTTCCCCGAAAGAAGGATAAACACATCAGGGCCTACCGACGACTAAAGATGACCCCGTCGACTCGAGTTGGTATCCCAAGTCGATTAAGGAAGTCCCGATGCTTATAGATCTCCGTCGATTGGATACACTTCAATACATCATAGGAAATATGTTAAGGATAAGAGGGTGATGGGTCTCTTCCCAGATCTGGAGCGAACCGATGAAAATGGGCTCAGATCTAGAACAAACTGATGAGAATGGGCTCAGATCTGTCATTATCACCTTCAAACTGCTACTGGACTGCGAGAAATCCTGCAAGAACTCAACGCCGGAGGGGTTTCCGGCGTAGAGCAAAATGATGGGTCTCTTCCCAGATCTAGAGCGAACCGATGAAAATGGGCTCAGATCTAGAACAAACCGATGAGAATAGGCTCAGATCTGTCGTTATCACCTTCAAACTGCTACTGGACAGCGAGAAATTCTGCAAAAACTCAACGCCGAAGGGGTTTCTGGCGTAGAGCCTCCGACGCTCAAGTTAGTATGTAAAGGAGATGGAGAGAGCTGCTCTGAGAGAGCAGCAGCAATAATGTGGAGAGTATGGAATGAATGAGAGTTAGGGTTTAGGGCTACATCTTCTCCTTTATATAGGAGGGAGAATTTACTTTAGATGCCCAAAATACCCCATGTCGGTAGTCCTAAAAAGTCCAAATTGCCCCGGTCGATTCATCTCCCTTCCTTGCTGAGTCACCCCCAGATTCCTTCTTATCCATAGGTGGACAAGGGGTTCTAACGAATGCGCCAAGTGTATGAAGTCGACTGCATGCTTCATGCCTCGAGATATGGGGCGTCGACCTCGAGTACCCCTTTACCAACTCAGGTTCCCACTGTTTGGAGGTCATGTTCTTGTAGGTTCTCGAATATATGTCGACTTCTTAGAAGTCGACTGACTCAAGTCGACCCTTATTAGTCGACCTGTTCAGGGTCTACTTTTCCGATACTCCGTGTTAAGGCCAGATCAACTTTGGTTGAAGTCGACTTAAACATCTTCTCGACCTGAATCGATCCGCGGGCGGAGCTGATAGCCTTTAAGTCGAAGAGAGAGACTTCGGATTGGTATATCTTTATAGGGCTATATCATCTACCCCCCCATAAATTACTCTAAGCAGTCGACTGCTTAAGAGTAAATTTAACGATTGAGAGTCGCCTTCGATCGACTCGAATGGCCCTGCCTGTCTCGCTTATGGCATTCGCGCCTCGTCTCATATTCATGATATGCCCCGTTATTTAAACAGAGTACTTCTTTGTCCTTCATGATTTTCTTCCAGATAAGTCTGACAACTTTTTTGAATTTCAAATTTCGAAGGCTCTTGAAGTGACGCGCGTCCTTTCAACCGCTGGCTCTTCATATTTCGTGCTTTATCTGAGCCGTTGACTTCCTTATTGATCTAACGGTCATCGTTCGTTCTTGTCATATATAAGTATAGTTGATCCTCCCCTTCAAACACTTTTCACTTTCTGAATTTCTCAATCTTCCAAGTTCTCCTCTGCAACTCCGGCGATCTTCTTTTCTTCGGCAATTTTCTCCAACAACTCCGGTGTTCAAGTCAATTCCTCAAGCAAATCATGAGTAAAATGGGTAAGTGTTTGATCTATTCTCCATCAATTTACCTTTTCTTTGTTATGTTTCTGGGTTTTCGATTTTGTTTGCTTTTGTTCTTAGTATCTGGGTGAGTCCTTCATGATCTTCAAGTTACTCTTCTTTTTATTGCAAATTTCATGCTAGATCCTTTAGGCACACACCTCACTTTGATTTACTGTTTTTATCTTGTTGGTAGTCGATCTTAGCGCTCGGCCTCTTGTCGATTTTCTTATCATGTCAGCCCTAATTAGTTTGCCTCCTCTCTTTCTGAGTCGCCTTATGTCGACCTGATCATCTAATTTTGTCGAGCCATGTTGTATCGCGTCCTCGCTTTTCTCCCTTAGTTGATTGTTTACGAGCCGACTTTATCTTGTTTGATTTTATTTCGTGGACTGACCTTTCTACTTTGATGCTTTCTAGCTTCCCATTCTGACTCTTCCCCCGATACACTTGACGAATTGATCGATATAGGCCTTAATCAATCCGATTCAGTCGAGATAACTGGCTATAGGATGACTAACATCTCCCCTCATTCTTCCTCCTCTCACGCCTCTACCCCGAAAGTCGACTGGGAAGAGTACGATCAAGCGCTTCTGGAGGGTGGTCTGGTGGAGATTTCAAAGAGTCCTCGAGTGGATTCCCCTCGCCTCGACCTGTTTCCTCGAGGTATTCCCTTTAGGTTGTTAGATTTTCCTATGTATACAACAAGTCCTGTACCTATATAAATAACTACTCCTCTCGTCGACCCTCGAGAGATTGTATCGATAGCTTGTCCTCTGGCCAAATTGGCCGTTCTAAATCCCTTCTCTTATGCCACTGCAGCTTAAATCGAGGGCTTCAGGCAATTCAGTGGGCTTCCCTCCGATTGGGAGTTGGTTGCTCCAGGCCCTGATAACGCCTTCGCCCGCCCTCCACCGGGTTGCCATACTTTTTTCATCGACCAGATTGTTTTCGGTCTTCGTTTCCCTATTCAAGATTAACTCTTGTTGATAAGTAACTTGTATAATATCCCAACAAATCAATTTTCTCCTAATGCCCTTTGCATCATGATAGCTTTTATAGTCATCTCTCGCATAGTAGTTCGCTTTTTTTTTGCCCGAATTTATCTTCTATTGCTATAGCTATCGACTTCAGAAAGGTGCTCATTGTCTGGTCCGCTGATCTGGCTTTTCTTTTCTTGATGACCTTTCTTCGAATATCACGGAATGGAAGTCGAAGTTTGTGTTTATTTGTCCTCCTGCTGGTGCTTATCCCTATGTGAATAACTGGATAACCATGAAAGTGAAACAAAAGAAGCGACCTCGGTCCGCGGACTTTGAAAAGCTCTTAGAGGAGCTTAATAAGCACACTTACAGTGCTCGTCGGATAGTAAGAGACCGTGAATTAGTCAATCATGCCAGAATTGTTATTCACGAGGATCTTCCTCGCCTCGATGATCCCCGTAAGTTATTAATGGTTTGACTATTTTTTTATCTTTTGTCGGGGATTAGTTTCATATTTCACCAACTGTCGCATGCTTCTCTTGTTTCAGTTCAAGCACTTAAGCGTTTTGAGCTTAAGAAGAAACAATCGGCCGATCAATTGGCTGTCGGCTCTGCTCCTCCTCCCCCCGGCGGGTCGGGGGTCAAAAGTCACCGCCGATGCCCTCGAGACGACCGCTGCGTGAAAATCCAAAGTCGAGGCCCCTGGCGCCTCGAAACAGCAGAAGCATTCGGGCCCTAGGGCCCGCAAAAGGCCTCAAGACGACCGAGCCCTTACTCTGATCCCTGACGACCTCAAACACCGTAAAGTCGACAAGGGGAAAGAGAAATGGTTGAGAGGGCTACTCCAGCCCCCATTACTGTCAAGGACGTGACGGTTAAGATGCCTTCTTGGCGTTGAAACCATCCAGAGCCATATCACGTGGCCAAGCATCTCAATTCTACAATCCCTGAGGCCGACAAGAAGCGTGTCGAGGGGAACCTCTACGAGCGCTCGAACTATGCCACTCAGCTGCTGTCAAGGGTACCTTCTCTTCTATTTATTCTTTTCTTCTTTTTTGTATATAAATTTTCGACTTGATTTTTATTCGTCTTGGATGTGTGCAGTTTCTGGAGGCAGTGCTTCCATGCCTCGAGGAGTGCAGCAGAGCTCCTGTTGTCTCCACCAAGTCCCTCGAGGCTAAATGTGAAACTCAGCGCAAAGCAATTGAAGCGCTGAAGAAATACTTGGAGGCCTCGAAGGCCCTCGTCGACAAGCTTAAGGCTGACAAGGCCGTGGCTCGTCATATCAGCGAGAAGCTCAAGGTCGACCTCGAGAAGGCCCGGTAGGAAATCCTGGCCGAGAAGGAGGCCGGTGTCGAGGAAGGACGGAAGTCGTTCTTGAAGTCTCCAATGGGCTCGATTTTCGTGGAGACTTATCGCAAGGAGGTCGTCAAGGCCTTCTGTAAATCCCCCGACTTTCTTGACGAACTGGTCCCTACTGCTATTGAATATTTTGACTTTGCTTTCTCGGTCTGGGAGTCCGCGGTGGCAAACATCGAGCTAGCCGGGAAAGTCGACAAAGCAGCCCTGAAAGAAACTCTCCCCAACCCAGTGGGTTATGCAGATGATGACTCCCTCCACGATGATCGCCCGTGGTGGTCGGGCATCGAGGCTCGTGCCATTTTTGAGGCTGGGCTGAGTTCTCAACTCGTAGTCCCTCCAACCCCCTTGTTTGGTCCGATCAACTTAGTCCAACAGAGCGGGGCTGACCATGTGGGAATCGAGAGAGAGGTCGAGCAGGGCACCGAACCGCTTGTCGACGAGCATAATGAAGAGCAAGGGGGAGCCGACGCTGAGAAACCGCCACAATCGTCGACGACGGTGATGATGTTGCTGACAAGTCGGATGTTGAGTCTTGAATTTATTTGTTCCGTCTTGGGATTGTGCCCGTTATGTTCGTTTTGCTTTGTTTTGTTGTTTTGTTTTTTGTTTTAACTTGTCGTCCTCGACCTATTTTCAAGCTTGTAAAGGTCGAGGCGACTCTACTTGTAATGGGTTTATGCATATTATCAATCATTTCCTTTTTTGCCTCGTTCATCGCGTTTTGCTGCTTTTTTAGTTATTAAAGTGCTATGGCTATTTGCAACGATTAGGGTCGACTTAATTTTCTGTCGGATCTTCTCCCAACCCCTCGTGCGAGCTCGAGAAAAGATTTCAACAGCTTCATAGCTGTTGAACTAAGTTTTTCGAGTCGCTTTCTCCCAACCCCTTCGTGCGAGCTGGTCGAAGTCGGGCAAAGGTTTCAACAGCTTCACAACTGTTGAACTAAGTTTTATTACCGCTGTTGGTAATTCTATTTAGTGGGTCGTGTACTTAATTCCTATTCGTGCCGTAGATGGGATACAACTTCGTAGTTATTTTATATTGACTTCGTAGTCGTAGGCTTCGTAGCCTTGCCGAGATTCCAGTCGAGGCATACAACTTCGTAGTTGTTTAGGTCGACTTTGTAGTCGTAGGCTTCATAGCCTTGCCGAGATTCCACTCGAGGCATACAACTTCATAGTTGTTTAGGTCGACTTCATAGTCGTAGGCTTCATAGCCTTGCCGAGATTCCACTCGAGGCATACAACTTTGTAGTTGTTTAGGTTGAATTCGTAGTCGTAGGCTTCGTAGCCTTGTCGAGATTCCACTCGAGGCATATAAATTTGTAGTTGTTTAAGTCGACTTCGCAGTCGGCAGAGACGATCGGCTTATATAGCCGTTTCGAAAAATTCAATTTATCCAGCGATTATGGAAAAGTCGATGCGTAAAGATAAAGGGACAAATTCAAAACATAAACTTAAAATTTATTTCATTACTGAATTTAATTTGATCGTTGTTCAGTACAAAAGAAAACTAGAAACATTGTCTTAAGCATAAAAACGTTTAAGATGGATTACGTGCCAAGATCGCGGCAGTTGTCGACCTTGCGCGTCTTCAAGTGTTGGGTTCTGTTAGGAACGTCAAACAACATGCACAGTATTGAACTTTATCGAAA